TTAGGTGGAGTATATAGAAGGAAAGCATAGGACTGAAGCTTCAATTCTGGGGAATATCAACATCAACACTTAGGAGAACAGAGACGTAGGAAGAACTGGCAAAAAAGTCCAAGCTGGAAGGGGTCTAGAGATGATGAGTGTTAAAAAGAAGACAGGAATGATTTTGACTGTATATGGGGAAAATGAGGGGTTTCAATGAAATGTTTGAAGTTAGGAGGCTAAAGGTTTCCTTCTGAGTGTTAGACTTTATTCAACACAGCATAGGTTAAACATATGTGAAATAGTCTAGAGTTTAATGGTTCTTGGCTGTGATAACTCAATCAGGAATGGGTGGTACTATTTCAAGATAAAGTACGTATGACATAAAGGAGTATATATAGCATCAAATGATGCAGAGATGTCAAAAAAGAGAAGAATGAGAGTGTTGGTTGGAGTTGGTATTAAGGAGCTCGTGGGTGGGCTCAGGAAAAGGAGTTTCAATGGAATGATAGAAATAAAAACCAATCTACAGTGGATTCAAGAACATCTAGGAAGTAGTGATGAGTAGAGACTGAGCATGGACATCCTCTTCCTAAGAAAGAAGAAAGAGCAACAGATGGCAGGGGTTGCGGGGTCTGAGGAAATGTGTTTGTATGTATTAAGGACTGGAGAGATCCTAGCATGTTTTTAAATGAAAAGGAGGGAGCTATAGGAAGGTGGTCCAGGGGCGAAAGATGGAACTGAGGGGACAAGAACCCTGGAGGGGCTGAAGGGAATGAGATCCAGGGAGTGCTTTATGATATTTTGAGCAATGGCACTCATCAGGATGAAGGTCTTGTTTGCCAAAGTGACTAAGTTGGGCTATTTTTGCTAAAAATATTAATAAATCACTAGATAGTCACAGCTTACACTGACTGTTTTCACTATACTTGGAAATGTGCAATTAGTTTTCTCAGCTTCATGAATTAATAACTTAAGTGAGAAATTATTTTGTTGTTAAAATGGAATGTCCTTTTGTTGGTTTAGAGATGGACAAATGGTCAAATAAGAGATAAATCAGGATAATCATATTTATTGAATTAATTTCAATGTGAAATACAAACATCTTGATAATTTTCTGCTCTCAAATTATGATTCAAAGAACAAAGTGTTAATTGGTGATTGTTCCTGAGGTAATAGTGTTCATTCAAAAATTAAGGATTCTTCAAACACTCATTCATTCAACAAATAGTGATGAAACATCTACTATGCCCCAGGCATTGTGTTGAGCATTATAGATACTGATGCAAAGAAGCCATCTTCTTCGGACTCTAGTTATGGAAGTGGTTGGTAGTAAATGGATCAGGAAAGGGCTTATTTGATGAGTTTATGAGCTTGTAAGCAAAGGCTTGAAGAATGGTAGGATTCTTGCTGGAGAATGAAGGCTAGGGTAACGAGAAAAGAGAGTAGGAACAAGAAGAGGGCCCCCAGCAATGGGAGGAAGAGTAGCTTAGGGAATTTGTAGAACATGACATCATTCAATATGGCTGAAGCATTTGATGCAGAAGGAAGAGAGCAAAAGTGGCAAGAAATGAGGCTAAATTGGGACCCTATTGTAAAACAGCTTATAAAGAGTTTGGGCCTTATCTAAGACTAACAGGAAGCCAATGGAGGGTACTAAGCAGGGAAGCAGGGTGAATTAGATTTACATTTTACAAAGATTACTTAACTCTTGTTGGAGTATGGAGACAGAAACGGGGCATGTGTGGGGACAGAAAAATCAGGAGAGATGGTGGAGACCTGGTCTAAAGCAGTGATCCTGACAAGAAAAGAAGAAAAACAACATGGCAGACAGCCAGGAAGTAAGATAATAGGGCTCAGTGGTGAATTCCTGAGGGGCAGGAGGGGCTGACCACAGGTTCCTGGATGATTTAGTGACTGGAGGGTGGTGCCACTCAACAACAGAGAGAAGCTAGGAGGAGAACCCATCCTGATTCGGGTGAACACTTCTCTTTCAATGCTTTTCAACTTGAGAGTGGCAAACCAAGTTTAGGCGAAGCACAGATAACTTTGCAGGTGCTTTTTAAAAACCCCACTGTTTGAGCTCAGTGGTTCTTCTCCACATGCAAGTATTGCCTTCAGTAAAGTTTCAAGCAAAGCAAAAGAAAGATATTCACCTGTGGAACTTCAAAAAAGCAAGCCCACAGCATCGCCAAGGCTGGTGCCCGCAAAGCAAGGAATAATAAACATCCCATTTTTAATGTAACAGATTTTCCATTCCCCGCCCTCACCCCAGGCATCTGCACACACAAATCAAAACCCTCTTAAGTCATGGAATGAAAAAAATGAAAAAAATGAAAAAAAAAAAAAAAAGCAAACAAAAAGTGCTTCCTGTGGTGTGAACGGAAATTGTTGCCCAGTTTATTTTCCAAGCACATGAACAGTAGTTCTGAATATTTAAAACCACAAGTAATCATATTCTTAACTGAGATTTTTGAGAAGAGGTGGTGCGGACAGGATCACTCATAGCGGTCTTTGACATAAAGTACATTTACGTTGAAGTAAGGCCTGCTCCCCTTCAACATCAGTTATCACCAAGTGTCTTACAAACAAAATTGTGTTGGTTGGAAAAAAGCAAACAGATTCAGAACAAATAAATATGCCTACCTAGTTGAACTAAAGCCAAGCCATACCATCACATGTGTTTTTGCCCCTTGAGATAGAAACATTGCACCTAAATTTTATTAGGAAAACTCTTTTGCATTAGAATATTTTTAGAACTTCATCTAGGATCTAAGTACCCTTCTTCCACCAAAATATGAGGCCCCCAATTCACATTGGCCGGTAATTTCTGGCCAGATAAATGAAGACTAGCATGTGAATATAGTGTGGTAATTAAGAGTGTGGAATTCAGTTTCTTTCTTGTTTGTTTTTAAGACTTGTTTATCTACTCTTTGAGAGAGAGACAGAGACAGAGACAGAGAGACAGAGTGAGCAGGGGGAGGGGCAGAGAGACAGAGGTCCTGAAATAGATTTCCCACTGAGTGGGGAGCCCACTGTGGGGCTTCCATCCAAGGGCTCTCAGATCATGACCTAAGCTGAAATCCAGAGTTGGTTGTTAAACTGAGCCACCAAGGTGCCCATGGAATTTGGTTTCATTGTCTGGGTTTGACCTGACTCTATTACTCATTGACCATGTGAGCTTGGACTCATTACTTAATCACTCTCTCAGTTTTATCATTGTGAAATGGGAATAATAATGAGATCTCTGTCACAGAGTAGTTGTGAACATGGAAGAGATCATTCATGTGAAGCACAGTGTCTGGCATATTGGTATGTACTCAATAAATGTTCATTATTAGATTCCTGCCCTATTGTCCTCTGCAGAACTATATCTGAGCTCTAGAATTTGTGGTAATTTTTATTGGATGAAGTAAGAGCTCTCCAGACTTAGTTCCAGAGCTAGGCCACAGCAAAGTTAGAAAAAGTCAATTATTCTACACTGCCTCCTTTTTGCTGGAAAAGGATTCAAGTATGGTAACAATGGATCTGGAGGCATTTCCTCTTGATGCTGTCAGGGATCACAGTGGAAGGGAAAAGAAGGAAATCAGGGTAACAGGTTCCCAGTGGTCTTGGTGGCCCACTATTTCTCTCAAGTTAGCTCAACACCTCAAATAGCGTCTTTTACACTATTGAGGCCTAGGAGCCTAAAAAAGGTCACTGGGGAAACAGAGATGTAATGGAATCACTGCAGGATCAGCCTCCTACCTTATCTTTGGAACCCCTTGGCTCTGGTCCAGTATCCCATATTGCTCTTCTAGAGTCCCAAATCTGGATTCTACTTCAGAGCCTGGACATTGGACTGAAACCTTGGTTGCCCTGACCTCCTGATTTCAGCTTCTCACCTGAATATCTCCTCTGCAGGCTGATAGTTGGTCTTACCCTGTCTTCCCCATAAACCCTGGATCCAGCATCTTGGAAGCTCGTTCAGACTTTTAGATTGTTGGCTTGAGTGGCTCTACCTGTTTTGGTTAAGAGTGAGAACTCTGGAACCATACTCCTCAAATCCTAGCATTCCCACCTGCTATTTGACTTGTGCCAGCACTTTACAACTCATGCCTCGGTTTTTCTTATCTGTAAAATGGGAAATACTAATTTCCCCACCTCATAGAATGTCCCCACCTCATAGAATGGTTAGGAGAGTTAAATGAATTACCATATGTATAAAACATAATATAAATACACATACACAAATAATCCAGGTTAATATAATATTAGCTATATTCTATTCTATACATAATATATATTATTTTACATTTAATTTTATGTACACTTTACATTAAGATGAATATTTCATATAAACACTTATGTACATACAAATCTACTTATTTATATTATTATTACTATTGTTGTTATTGTCTGTTCTATTGCCCTGCAGAGATGGAGACCATGGGTAGGCTTTTCAGCTTTTTTGTTTTCATCTGAAGCTATAGGTACAGAATTCCTGGTTTCTACAGACTCTTCTGTAATATGCTGAACAGAGTTTAGGTTGGATTAAAATAGATTGCATCATTTGGAGAATTACCATCTACAGAGAATGTGATGTAAATATTTCTCTGATTTCTGTGTTGCTCTTCTTCCAGATAAATCTGTATTTCAATCTCTGTAAGAATTCCCTTTATTTCTTATCCTGTTTCAAAGGCTTTCTATCTCTGGAGCAAATAGCAGAAGATAGGTGTCAAAAACGTTATTTATCATGTGGCTATTTTTAGAGTTTGTTGTTCCCCAGTAACCATTGATTCAGTGGAGTGGGATGGTTCTGAAAATAGGCATGGTCTCTTTCTCTTGTTTTATTGGAATCAGAATGAGGGTAAAGTTTCCCTCTGTTTTCAAAATTATCAGCAATCCATGGATTAAGCTGAACCCTCCCGTAAACCATTATGCCGCTCCTATCGCCACTGACATCAATCGCAAGACACCTCCTTGCCTTAATGGTAAGTGTGACACTACATAAACCCTCACAAAACCCACTTCCTTTCCAGCAAATAGAAAACAGTTGAGAACATGAATTCACTGTCAGCTTTGAACACTGGAGGGGATTGCATCTGTTTTCAGCAAACATGAAGTCAGACCTCTGGTATTTCCTTCTCTTCTGCTTTCAAGTTGAAGCCATAACAGGTGAGTGGCCCATCGATTATTTTTTATTAAGTTATGATTCAAGTGAATATTAAAAAACCCAAAAGGTAGAAAAATCAGGCACCCAATAGAAGGTCTTTGTTTGTTTTCTGTTTTTTTTTTTTTGTTTTGCTTTTTAAAAAAAAATTTATTACTTATTTATTTTTTGAAAGTGGGAACAATTGCAGAAAAGTCCCAAGCACTTTGCGCTGGGCTTTTGTCACCATGTCACAGCTGATGCCATGGAGTTTGTACTGCTTCTTTTGATATTGTGTTTTTTAAGATGAAGAAAAATGTTTCATCAGACCATTAAAATTTTAAATTACCTGCTTGGAGTTACCTGTTAGTAGATAAAGTAGAAGAGTGGCTTACTGTTCTCAGAGAAAGATGAAAGGCAAAATGACTTGTGTCAACTGAATGAAGGTAAAATAGTCGTGGCATCTGGGCCGCGAATTCTTTTAGAAGGAGAAAATAAAATGGAAACACTTTGAAAAAGAGGATTTTGATTTTAATCTTATCTGGGTGATCTCTTGTTAGAATGGAAATGTCCAGGCTGCCACAGAGGTGTTTTTTTTTTTTTTTGGACCCTAAGCGTCAGGGTCCCTCTAAAAGGCCAAGGAGTTGTGGACACTATAAAAAGGCTCCTAAGCCCATGGAGACATTAAAGAAAAACAAACCAGCATTCTGAAGTCCTCAATTCTCTCTCTTAGATGGTATATATATCAGACTATTTGAAGGATTTAAATAATGTGACCTACCACTAAATTAAAAAATGTGTCTCTGCTGTTTCTTATTTGGTACATTTTTGTATTCCCCCCCCCCCCCCACTCTGAGCCATGTTCTTGAGGCTGGCACAAACAAAGTGAAATTATATTGACTTGGAAAGTTCTATTAACACTAAAAGGGAAAACAGAAATCTAGTAGACATAATTTCATCTAGACACACATTTTGCAGTGGTACAAAGAAATAGATTTTACTTTTCTCTCCAAAGAACTAAAAAGCAATAGCAGATTGGTCAAATCTTTCATCTCATAGTAGTTCAAGGTGATTCAAATGCTCTTAAGAGGAATGAAGAGTGAACATTTAGAGAGTCTGCTTATAAGTTCCAAAGTCAGCTTGGGGCTACTTGTTGTTTATGCCGGGTCTACAACCCAGTGAGATCTTTTAGTAGCATGAACAACAAATGAATAGCTTTGGAATTGATATTCATTTATTTATTCATTCACTTATCCATTCATTCATGCACCACCAAGCACTTGCCACATAGGAGGTACTATGCTAGCTGCTGTGTGTGCAATGATGAACAAAACTGCATTAGTCCCTGCTCTCAGGAAGCTAACTGAATGGTTGGAAGAAAGACATTAATTAAATAATCTCATGAATTAATAATAATTACGGACAAATTCAGAGAATGTAACAAAGAAGCCTCTCTAGACTGGGTGGATATGGGGGAGGAGTTGGGGAGTGGTGTTCATCAAAATCTTTTTTGTGGCAGTGCCACTTGAATTAAGATTTGAAGGATAAGTAGGAATAAATGAGGGGGATGGTGTCAGAGGGGGAAAAACATTCTGTACCAGGTAAAGAGGAAGGGCAAAGGATCTGTGGCAGGAGGAAATGAAGTAAGGTCAGAGAACTAGAAGAAGGTAGAAATGCCTGAGCATGGAAGGAAAGGGTTTGGAATGGTACAAGAAGATGCTGGAAAGAAAAGCAGAGGCAAAACCATTCAGGCCATGTAAAGGATTTTGGATTTTTTTCCAAGAATATTGGTACAAGTCATTGAGGGTTATGCTGTAAAAAGATATCCCAATACGCTAAGCCCATATGGGCACTTACGGTTGATAGTGTGTTTATTATCAGTTTGAGATTTGAGTTAACAATCATGTTTTTTTCTGTGGAAGGATAGATCCAACCTAGGTAGAATTATTTCAAGTTACTAGACTAACCTGATGAAATTGTGCTTCTAGAATGATATTCGTCTTAGGCTCTTATAGAATAAAACCAACGTTCACTGTTACCACACAGAAAGCTATGCCATGTGATAAGCCATTTTTCGGTTTGAGGGATAAGTGACTAAATGGAGATTGTAAATTGCTAATGGTCTCCATGTTCGAAATACCATCACCATGCATTTATCCAGCACCTATCCATTCTTCAGAGCCTACACCAAGCACATGCAAGTCTTTTCCTTTTCCTTTGCCATCTTTTTAATCCTCCCAACTATGTAGGCTTCTCATCCCACAAAAAGGTTAAGTTAGTCTTACTTTCAGTTCATGTTTAAAGAATCTCAGACCAGCAAAGGCTAAGTGATTTGTTACATATAATTTATGGCAGAACCAAGAGAGAACACAAATGTAATGTATCTGACTCCAATATTCACATTCCGTCCACATTGTGTTGAAGTAGCAAGACATATAATGTTAAAGGGGAGAAATTCTCATTAGTGTTGCCTTTAGTTGGTGAGTTAATTGGTTGGAGATCTTGGGGATTTCTTAACTATTACTCTCAGTGTAAAATTTAACAAAGTCATCTTCTCAATGATTCTGGAACAATAGGAAGCTCCTCTTTGTAAAAGGATCTGGAAAAAATTTGAACCTTTACTAGTGTTTAGAGGACCCTCTTTTTACACCTAATGGGCAGTGAGAACCATGTGGGTGACTTTATGATTTCTAATTTTAGGAAGACTGCTCTGAGAGCAGAGTGGAGGCTGTACATGAGTAAGAGTGATAGAAGTCAAATGGTGCTTAATAAATGTAGGTCTCATTTTGGTGGAGGATAACCTTCAAGTTCTTTTTGAGCCTTGCTTTTATTTCCCAGCCATCAAATCCATGATTCCTAAATCCCATCACCTTAGGAAAAACAGCCCTTTGGTGTCTGCAGATGGGTCCCTCCTTAGAGCTCAGAGGGAATTCTGTGGGATCTGTTCCTCCCACAACTCCCTTTAGGTACTCATGTTGGATTTCTAAAAATCCAAATTGTTAACTTTTGTCCCGCATAGATGAATTCAGGCCATTCCCATTCAGTGTGATAAGCCTGTACTTGATTTTATGCCTTCACTGTTATGTTTATTTCTATTTATTTTCCTTTGCTATTGTATCTTTTTTATTTTGGTTGGCTTCTTTTAACTTCTCTCTTTGCCTCTGTAATTTGGAAGGTTGACTACAGTTCTTAACTGAGTAAGTCATTATGTTTGGAGCACCTTGAATGTCTATTTATTTATTATTGGCTTAAAATAAATAATGAGAATGGCCTTGCCTGATATGCTGACCGCACACTCCTCCACCGACCTGAGAACTTCTGAAGGTGCTTCCTGTCCCACTCTCATGCTTTCCTGTTAGTGTACCCCTGCCCCAATCTTGGGCTTTGTTGAAATAATAATTGAAGATCACTGCTAGTTTCCTTTTACAGTATTTCTCTTGTTTTAAGAATCCCTTTAGACTTCCTTCACCTATTTTCAGTGACAGCATCACTCTTACCATCCAGCCCTGTCCTGTGATTTCTGTTCTGATATAGTCATCAGAAGATTTCCATTACTTTCTTCAGATACCCTGGACTGTAAATTCCAGCACAGGTAAAGAAGTCTTTCTTTTAGTCTGATGCGTGACTAATATCTTTTTTGGGAATAGGATTCCTGGACTGAAGTCTTTTCCCTTAATTGTCTGTGGATCTCCCTCCACTGTCTGCTGGCTTCTAGGACTGCAGGTGAATAATTCCATGCTCATCTGATTCTCGTTCATTTGTAAGTGACTTAAAAATTCTCTAGGATCTTGTAAACTACTTATTTCTATATTGGAATTCAGGAGTTGTGTCAAGATATGCCTAGCTCAGTGAAGATTTTCAGGAACATTTTTTTGGGACTGGGTGAGGCTTCAATATGTGGACATGAGAAGTTTTTTTTTTTGTTTGTTTGTTTTTTTAAATTTGTCCCATAGTTGTTTAATCTTATGTTTGTCTTTTTCTCTTCTTTCTAGGCATACCTATTATTCTTTCAAGTCTATTATTCTCATGTAAGATCTTGAGTCCCTTGTTTTTCATCATTAGTGGCTTTCATAACTTGCCATTGCTATTAGCAACTGCCTCAGGTGAAATGGAATATTTATCTTTGTTAGCAGGATACTCCCATTTCCTGGTAGAAACAGAATGTAGGTGCATAGAGAGGACCTAATTCTTATCTTAGTAGAATGAGACTGTAGGTACACTGTAAGGTACATAGACTTCTTTGACTTAAAAAAAATTGGCCTCAATATTCACAGTTGTAAACTGTGCAAAACCCACATTTATGCTACCTTCCTATCTTAAGGATATGAATTTTATATGTTAAAGAATTTATTAAACTTTGTAAATTAAAGAAATCAAAAATCCTCTGTTTCCTTCAATACCCTAGCTAAGGTTCACATTTACTTCATAAAAGGCATTTTTATGTTACTGCTATTCTAATAAATTGGATCTTTCAAATGGCACTTTTTGGTCATCTTAAGTAAAATAAGACGTTTGACATTTGAAACCTTCTTAGGAAAATTTAAAAATATATTTTGGAAATTGGAACTTAATAAGTATGTAGAAAATATATAATTCAAATGAAAACTGTTAGTCAAAACGTGATTTTTTTCCATTGGTTCAGCATGTGAGGCTGATCAAAACAGACCAAGATTTGCGAATTTAGAGTCAAATGTTGGGAATATGGACCTCCTCTGGGTCACATATAATGTATTGAGCCTGCTTCTACTTTGCTTGAGGAAAAGCTAAGAAAAATTAAGTTGCCTTTAGGGAGGTTGACAGACTCAAGAATTTTGGTTCTGTCAACCACTCATTCTGATAGAATCTTTTGTTTGTCTGAGCCATGATGACATAAGCATGGCACCTTCAACAAGCAATTGGAGATCACTTAAATGTAGTGTTTTAATTTGAGAAATCCAACTTTTTGCAGCTAACTCAGCACCGGAAAAAATCCATTCATGGAAAACAATAAACAAATAAAATCTGTAATGCACTCACAATTAAAGTT